AAGCTATGCTATAGACATATTAACCTACCAGAAACACTAAGGTAATGATTGCCCCCTTCCCAGTCTACTTCCCTATAAGTCAAGATCATGGCTCATCACCACAATTAGCTTCAGGATCTCTACTCTCACAAGACTGCAGTCACAGATTTGTGAATTTAGATGTTCAGTACCCTTAAAATTTTTAAACCTTACATAACTACAGAAAGTAACTAATGGGAATAAAGACATCTTTTAGAAAGCTATGGAAATATACAGTACAAGCTTACTATGAAATAAGGGAAAATTTGATGTTCTTTTTCTTTAATTGACCATTTAACCACTCCATGGGTTTATAATTGCCTATATTACCTTGACATTTGCTCATTTCTGAATTCCCTTCCCTTTTGTTTTCTGCCCAAAATACCACTAAAAACGAAAGTTTCAAGCAGGCATAGTCATTCTCCAATAAACACACTTTAGTGGTGTGATCATTTTGTGATGTATAGAAATATTGAATCACTATGCTGTACACCTGTAGCTAACATAATGTTGTAGGTTAATTATACCTCCTATACTATAGGATGGCTCTAATCAAAGTTTTGGTGAGGGTGTGGAGAAATTGGAACCCTCATACACAACTCATGGGGATGTAAAATGGTGCAGCCACTTTGGAAACAAGTCTGGTAGTTCTTCCCAAGGTTAAACATAACTGCCATACAACCCAGCAATCTTGCTGCCACATACATGCCAAAAAACTAAAACAAATGCCTACACAAAAAAAATAGTACATGAAGGTTCCTAGCAGCAAAAAGTAGAAAACACCAGTGTCCATAAACTGATAAATGGATAAATAAACAGTGGTAGTATGGAGCATTATTTGACAATAAAGGAATATGGCACTGATATAAGCTCCAACATGGATGAACCTTGAAACATTACGCTAAGTGAAAAAAGCCAGTCACAAAAGACCACATTATAGGATTCCACTTATATGCAATGTCCAGAATAGGCAAATCCAGAGTCAGAAGATTCCCGATTGCCTATGGCTGAGAGGGGTTGGGGGAAGGGCTGGTGGGGGTAGGGAAACAGGGAGTGGCTGCTAATGAGTACGGGGTTTGTGGAAGACCAAAATGTTCTAAATTGGATTGTGGTGACTGTTGCACAGTTCTGTTAATATACTAAAAAAACACTGAATTTTACACTTTAAATGGGCGAATTGAATGCTATGTGAATTATACCTTAATAAAGCTGCTTTTAAGAAGTTAAAACTTTACAGAAGATTTAAGAATCCGTTGGAATCTAAATCTCTAAAGTCTAGATTTAATATTTGTACTGCTAGCTCTTTCTCCCAAAATACTTACTGGATTGGTTTAATTCTAAAAATACACAGCCCTTGCTAAGGCAAGGGTGATGACAGATGAATAGTACAGAATAGCCATCATGAAAAAACAAAACAGAACAAACCCACATATATGTTCTTTGTAGCAGGCACTTTGATGTTAACTCCACAATTTTGCTTTATATTATTTGCAGTAGGAAGCTCTCAATTCAGTCTATATTCATCAAGGAATGTATAGAAAAGGGACCCCTGAAAACAGTAAAACTCTTAAACCTTAAAACATTTCAAACAGATCTCTTAACATAACCTGCTTTTTATGCACTTAGAATATTTATATCCATAATTTTGAGAGGAAAAATAGAATAAGGTTAGCAAACAAATGATTTCACTAAGATTCTAGAACAATGTCAACTACTAGATTTGGCTTTTGGGAGTGTTGTTTTGTGGAACACATCTACCTAATAAGTAACATTATAAATCTTTAATACGTATCACTTCTCACAGATTAAAAATTGTTTTTAACTCTGCTCTGACTGGAGTGGGGATTGAAGATGCAGAGTAGTATACCTACTTAATCTTGTTCTGAGACAGCAATGCTTTTAATGAAATTCATTTCAAAGACTGAGAATTCATTTAGCCTGGTTAATATATTAGGACCTGTAGGTCACTACAAAAGTAACTTTTGAACAGTGCCATTTTAAACTGACAAACACTGCAAATCCCAGAAGAATTCCTTGAACAGGTTCCTTGGTCCCATGTACAATACCTCTCTGCACTGGCTAAATGACAGGCTGTTCAAAACGCACTCGCACTGCTGCACTCAGAGTTTGGAGACAATTAAGCAGATTACTTTCAACTTAATCTATGAGAAAAATGAAGTTAATTCACTGAGAGAAATGACAGATTTAGAATCATAAATGGAATGGGATGGCAGCCTGTATGTACTTAAAGTCTACTAAGTACAAAAAAATTGTCTGACAAATACTGTTTTGGAAGTAAAAATTAGAGTGATTGGATTAATAACCTCTAACTTTATTTCCCTTTGCAATGTAACATTTCTAGTAAGTCTAAGGTTGAAGACAGCCAATGCTTGTTTTTGTCTCCTTCTCAGTGCAGACCATTCTCTATCTTTAGAGATTTGACTGGTAGGAAGTTTATGTTAACCTGAAACCTACCTTCTATGCTGTATAGAACTTTCACCCAGAGCTTTTAAAATATGAAAGCTATCTTGATCCCAGTCTTTTCAATGTAAATACTTAGTTCTTTTAGCTATTCTTCATGTTGATTTTACATTTTGACCTCTACTCTAAAGATGCACCATGTCCTATTGGTATTATTTGTAAAGCACGAAGATGCAAAACAATATTCCAAGTAGAGAATAACCAGCCCGGTAAAACGGTAGCACCACCAGTCTTGTTCTAGATATCTTACTTCTAATAAAACATCCTACAGTGTAACTATTTGATAGCTACATTCTATTAACTAAGTTGGAGCTTACTACTCAATAAGAATCTATTACTACTGCTAAGCCATATACTCCACAATCTGTCTTCAATGCATCCTCCGTCCAAGAATGTGAGAACTTGTTTAATAAGTTATTGAAATTAACATGAACTTGACTATAGTTTTTAACTTTTCTGATAACCGTGACGAAAGAAACTTTAACAGGATTCTTTATCACATCCATATGGGATCATGATTTTTTCTAGATGCTTATACCAGCCTTTTGTTATCTGGGACTCTTATCCAGAAACTCATCTATTTTATTTATTTCATACTTTACTCTGTATAGTCCTTTTCTCTTTTTGAAGATATGAATGACATTTACTAAGCTTCTGATATCTTACGTCTCAAAGAAAGTTCAGCTACCATATCTTTAAGTTGCCAACACTGAAACAATTCCATCATGTAAAATTATTTTGGACAGATAATTTTAGTCTTCTCATGCATGTTGGGTTTAGACTAACATTCATTCTAATCAAGACAAACTTCTTCATTAAAAAATAACCAAATAAATGCTAAGATACTGTGATTTATGTTCTAACATTGTACCAAACTCAGGTCTATCCCTTGGAAAGTCTTATTCCAAAACCAACTAAGAGCCCCTAAAACTGTAAAAAATTTAATAAGCCTTAGTTTACTTAGTGTTTAAAGCTTCTTACCCTATTTTTACACTGTGCCATTCTATACAATTTTTCTTGGGGGGGGGGGCAAATAATAACTCCTTTATTGGCCAGAATCAGGTCCCAGGTAGCAGGTTTCTGAGTTATTTCTTCTTTTCTCCAAGAAATAGAATAAAAACTTGAAGCAAATCAAGAACTCCGCTTGTTGACAGCCAATATACAGATAGCTTAAATCCTCCACTCTTGCCTCTTTGCCATGGTATTCATAAACCCAGACACTGGTTACTATTAACACATCAACTCCAATCCCTTTCTATCCCAGGCTCGATTTACCAATATTGCCAGTCCTGGCCAATCCCAGATATTAATACCCATTCTAGTTGTTGCTTCTATTATCATCTACTATGGTAAAAAACAGTATGATTGCACATTTGAAATAAGCCACGTTGACAAGTTAACTAAAACCATAAAAAGTATCAGAAAAGATGAAAGGGATCTACTTTTGACCCCTTTCCAGGTATCCTGGAAATCTGAGTTGACACCAGTCTTTTATACCATTTTTGTTAAGAAAAATCAAAACCATTTTAGGATCTTGAACTCACACCTGATAAAGATTTGGTTTCATACTTTCTATACATATTAAAATGTCACTTGAATGAAGACAAAGATCATTTAGTGTTGAATAAACACTAAATCTTTCCCCATAGTAACTTTTATACTAGGATTTTGAAAATAGGTAAGGAAAATAATTCAGTGTTAAAGTCTAAGCCCTCAAGCAAGTTCTTAATACTACATTTTGTTGTATAAAATGGATGACTAATAAGAACCTGCTGTATAAAAAAAATAAATAAAATAAAATTCAAAAACAATTTTTTTGTTGTGAGAGGAGGATTGGGAAGTGATTGCCGGGCATATAGTTTTTCGGGGGAAAATAAAAGTGTTCTAAGAGTAGTGTGTGATAATGCACAATCCTATGAATATATTAAAAACAGTGAATTGTACCCTTTAAATGTATACATTTTATGTGAATTATCCCAATAATAGCTTTTAGAAAATATTTCAACCTCATTCTAAAGGCTATTACAGGAATTTCCCTGGCTGTCTGATGGTTGAGACTCTGCACTTCCACTGCAGGGGGCATGGGTTCGATCCCTGGTTGGGGAACTAGGATCCCACATGCCCCACGGCGTGGCCAAGATAAATAAATAAATGAATGAATGCTATTACATTACACACTGTTATATACTTTCTAGAATATTATTAAAATACATAGCAAAAACCCTAATAGAGGACCAAAGAGAAACCCTTACATATTGAATTAAGCCAGGTATTAGGATACCCAAAACAACAAACCACTTAGGAGCCAGATGCTAAATGTTGAGGAGCTCTTATTATATTACAACCACTAAACAAACAAAAACAAATGGTACTAGACCGAACATGACCCCTAGATGATTTCTTCTGAAAGACTATTATTTGAAAACAATCTTGAGATGGAAGATTTTTTTGCTTCTACAAACAAAAACATGAATGAAGTCCTCAATAGCATGAGCACTTACTCATCATACTCGATATGATAAATTACGTCTTCAGCAGCAGCAACAGAATCTGAGTTAGACGTAGAGGGTACATTGTCCAATTTATTTGTGTTCTCTTTGGAATTATGATTTATATTTCCATTAGTCCTTTTATAAGAACTGCCATTCTTCAGTGGAGTTTTGCCACGTGAGTGTCCATCAGAAGCTCTAGTAACACTATGTATACGTGCTTCAAACCAAGCACCAAGGGCGACATCTCTGGCATCCACCAATTCATTTACCTAAAAAAAAGTTTAAAATTAGTTAATGAAGCGTAATTTCATCTACTGCTTCAAAAACATTAATATAACTCAAGTTATTTTGAGGGTTATCATAGTTAATATTTGCAGATATTCATGTTTAAAGTAATTTCAAAGATTAGAACGAAACTATTCTTTTTGGATTATACTGTTATTTACTAATACGAAAATTAACTTTCCTCCCAATATCCTTCAATGAAATAGGTATTTTCTTTAACTATTCCTTACCCATATCTATATTAGACGTTTAAAATATAATTCTTGTGTACCCAAGAGTTATTCTGGCATTTCATTCATTAAGAATGTCACTAACAGGGCTTCCCTGGTGGCACAGTAGTTGAGAGTCCGCCTGCCGATGCAGGGGACACGGGTTCGTGCCCCGGTCTGGGAGGATCCCACATGCCACGGAGCGGCTGGGCCCGTGAGCTATGGCCGCTGAGCCTGTGCGTCCGGAGCCTGTGCTCCGCCAACGGGAGAGGCCACAACAGTGAGACGCCCGCGTACCACAAAAAAAAAAAAAAGTCACTAACCAAAAGCCAGAACTCTGAAGTATTATGACTGTGATATTAATTTGTTCCATTAATTTCTTCAGAATCCTACAGATAATTTACAGTCAGTCCAACCAGAAAACACAGTATTGAACAGAAAATAAAACTCGAAAACGAGGGACTTACGCACATGTACAAAGGAAAGAATCTAGTGAACCTACCTATACAAAATGGAGATAAGTTCCACCAACAGCAAGTCACTAGCAAATGCATTATTTAGTACCTCAAAGAACGAAGAAAATATAAAGCGAACAGAGCTATAAACATGCAAAATGTATGTAGTCAACTCTAGTGGATGATCCAGAACTAAACCATACAATCTAACAAAAGGAAAACAGTATTAGAAGACAGAGAAATTTAGAGTTACCTAAGGAATTGGGTTAAAAAAAAAAAAAAAATCCTGTCCTAAAAACGCTGAGGGAATTGGTCTAAAGGTCAAAGCCCTTTCAGGAGCAACAACCAAGAGACATCCCTTCAACTTTTTAAAAACTCTTTAAAAAGAAAAAAACCAGACATTACTAATACAAGATCATTACCTAATCAAGCTAGCTCTTCCTGAGGGTCTAAGACCACTTAAGGTATCCAACAGAACTCTGACGGATGGTATCACATGGGGTAGGGGTGGGGGTTAGTATGTACTGAAGTTAATACCCATATACCAGGTATTATGCAAGGCTCCTTTAGTTAGGCTTGTCTAACTAACCTTAATAATTAATAAATCTTATTTTACAGGATAAGGAAACAAAGGCTCTGACAAGTTAACTTGCTCCAAATGAAAGTTAATAAAATGTAAAACTAGGATTTGAAGACACCTTGACCTTAAAGCTTATGTTTTTGCTACTATTCATTACTATACATTTTGTAAGGCTATAGCTACCATAGTGATTCCTCTGATGGATCTCAGCAAAGCTGACTGAAAACCTTCTGGAAAGAATTGACCGTCCTCGATGCCATTAAGGACATTTGTGATTCATGGGAAGAGGTCAAAATATCAACATTAATAGGATTTAGAATACATTGATTCCAACCCTCATGGATGACTTTGAGGGGTTCAGGACTTCAATGTGATGGAAATAGCAAGAGAGCTAGAATTAGAAGTGGATCCTGAAGATGTGGGTGAATTGCTGTAATCTCATGGTAAAACTTGAATGGATAAGGAGTTGCTTCTTATGGATGAGCAAAGAAAGTAGTTTCTTGAGATGGAAGCTACTCCTGCTGAAGATGCTGTAAAGATTGTTGAAACAGCAAAGGATTTAGAATACTATATAAACTTAGTTGATAAAGCAGTGGTGGGGTTTGAGAGGACTCAATTCCGATTTTGAAAGAAGTTCTACTGTTAGTAAAATGCTATCCAACAGCCTTGTATGCTACAGAAAACTTGTTTGTAAAAGGAAGAGTCAATCTATGACAAAGTTTCACTGTTGTCTTAATTAAGAAACTGCCACAGCCACCACCACCCTGGATCAGCCAGCAGCCATCAACACGGACGCAAGACCTCCCACCAGCAAAAAGATCACGACTTGCTGAAGGCTTAGATGGTTATTTTTTAATAAAGCATTTTAAAATTAAGGTATGTACACTTTTAAAAGAAATTATGCTGTTGTACACTTAATAGGCTATAGTATAGTGTAAATGTAATTTTTGTATGCACTGGAAAACAAAAAACTTGTTTGACTTCTTTACTGATATTCTTTTTTGCGGTCGTCTGGAGCCAAACCCGTATTATCTCCAAGATATGCCCGTAGCCACATTTAGAGAAGAGTCTTTCATGTCCAAGTATTTGATAAAAACCCAAACAAACAAAAAAAACCCAAGTATGAGAGGCAAGGAAAAATCATTAAAAAATAAAACAGTACCAAGAGCAAATACTTGAGAAATTACCATAGCTAGCTGTAGCACTTTGTATGTTCTGTGGAAAACACACAAGCTCTGCAGATAAACCTCAGTTTAAGCCCTTGCTTATCACCTACTAGATGTAACCTTGAACAAGTTACTTAACCTGTCCCAGCCTCAGCTTCTTTTATAAAGTAACATACTTTGCAGTATATTGAGAGTAGGTGACAAATCTGTATGATGTGCCAACCTAGCAAGCATATAGTAGGAACAAATGAAATAACTCTCCTTCCACTAAGTATCAACATATGTCCTATGTTAAAACTTATTAAAACTCATAGTATGGTCGGTCTTATTACCATACCATGCTTATTCAGTAAATACATTAGCCATTTAACGTTATATGTTACCTCCTTTAAAAATTACAATGCAACGTCATTCTTATTTTCCAATTAGGTTCAGAAGCGAAATACACTTGCCCTCAGAAGATACACAGCTAGAAATGGGAGCTAAGTTGATAAAGGTTTCTCTAACTCTGAACATGATTCTCTCATTATACCGTGTTTCTTCAGAGTTACAAATCAAAACACAATACGGTTCCATTTATATAAACTTCAGAAAGAGGAAAATTAGCGATGCATACATAGGTTAAAGGTTATTAAGAGGTTAAGTATAATAAAAGGTTAAAGCTAATAAAAAGTAAAGAAATGACTACCATAGAAGTTTGGGTAGTAGTTACAACTAGGGAGGAGGGAGTTTAATCAAGAGGGGCACATGAGAAGCTCCTGGCGTACACTGCTGTTCTATTTCTTAATTTGAGTGGTATTTATGGACACTGACTTCATAATATCTTGTTAAGTTCTACTCTTATTTGTTGTCTATTACATTTCATGATCAACAAGGTTAAATAAAGCAGCACTGCACTATAGACAAAAGACAGGAAATATAGGAAATCCATGATTTTTACTTAGTAATTACTGATAATTTTCCTCTTTATTTGCTACAATAAGCATAGACATGTAAAAAGTTTTAACAGTGCCACACACTTAGCTAAGCCCTAAAAGCTTACTATCATCATGCTAAACAGTTATTATTTAAGCCAGAATGAGTCATTTCAACAGTAAGATCTGATATGAGTCATACAAAGCTTCCACATCTAAAAACCAGAATTAAAACCAATTTAGGCATCAGAGGTCCACCTGGTTTCAGAAAATTACTTCCTAGAGCCAGTGTGATTCAATGTGTTGTACAATGGGAATGGATGGACCCAGCCTCTGCAATCTTCCAGAGACTTTCTAAACATGATAGTGATATCTGGTTTCTTACAACGTATGAAAAGCTATCTGAAATTGACCAAATATCGCTCAAAGTTATCAAATAGGGCAAAACAAGACTGATACTGGATAACAACTTCAGATTAAAATTTCATCTTAAAGTTTAAATGTTTACCTATGTCTGTTTTGAGTACACTACTTTGAAAATTCACTTTTTGTGCCTGCTTATCATACGGTCCAAAAATATTCTTAGGCAAAAGGAAGGGAAAGCCTCCAAATCTGTTTGCTCATCCATAGAGAAAAATCTTTATAAAGCAAAAAATTACATAGGCAAGAATTCATGAAGAGGAAAAAAAAACCTCCCAATTTTTAAATGATTCAGACACAAATTTAATGAAATTTTGATATACTCACTATTCAGAGACTCGCTCTAAGGAAAACAGACAAAATTCAAAGCAAACTCAAAATAAGTCAAAAGTAGAAGCCTCTGAGCATTTTCAGGCTAGCCCAAAAGAATATCTAATATAATTATGAAGGCAGAGGGCAATATCATCTGTTTACTCCTCATTTCTAGTACCCAGTACAAATATACACTAAATATCTAAATATTCAATGAATGGATTATCCAGAAATAAACCCTTCTATATGAAAAAGTCACTAGTCAAAATTTCAAATATCTATGACAATTACCGAGCTTCATCCAAAAAAGCAAGTAAGTTTGTGTTAGTCTCTTCAACTAAAGAGGAAGGTTAAGTGCAGCTTTGACTAAACATATTACTTTACAAATAACAGTAGCCTTTTGAGAGTTCACATGCCAGGTTCCAAGTGTATTTCTAAATGAGGAAAGGGAGACAATGTACTTACTTGCCAAATTTGTCCAACTCAGAAAGTGGCTGAATTGAAATTTGAAACCAAGTCTGACAACAAAGCTCAAGTCCTTAACATCTATGCTATATATTAATATGAAATATGAGATGTTTAAAAAACAAAACCAAGTACTAGAAATAGTTGACCGCCAAAGTGCTAACACTGCAAATAAAAAGCAAAGATCTGCTAAGAGAAGTAGTTTCTCATGATGCTTGTCTGAATTAGTTTGGGGGAGGGGACACAACTGGGTATTGAGAAGTGTGCTAAACAGAGAATTTAAATTGATCGTAACTACTTAACCTTTCTTAATCTCAGATCTGCAGATTCATAAGCTGGTCCTCTCCTATGAAAACAAATTCATACCTACATGGCCCAAAACAAATCAAGTCAAAAGTAGCAGCTTCTAAACTGTTGCCCTTAAAAGTTAAAATGTAATAATGTAAGCTTAATATGGACACAGATGGTTACATAAATATTACAGATACATGGATATACAGGAGTTATTATACATACTGCATGTATTTCCTTGCTCTGTCAGCTGAGGGCCCTAAAAACAAGGACACCCCAGTAGCAAGGAGCACCTAGAGCCCAGATCTTAGTTTCCAATACCATTCTCCAATTAAAGGAACCAAGGCTCCTTGGAGAAATGGTTGACTGCAGGACTGGGGCAGGAAACTTACAAGATGAGCCCGAAAGAAAAGCGCTACTGCTAGTGCCAGAAAGAAAGCGCTTCAACGAAAATCAAAGGAACCCAAAATAATGGGGGTATATGGAAGGGACACAGGAGAAAAAATATCCATACTGATGTCAATAAATGACTGAGGAAATGAAGAGACAAGTCTCCCGCATAAAAGAATTCCCAATAATTTTTGTAGATAATCTGACTACATGCAGTTTGGGCTGCATATAATGACTTCATCTCAAAAAAAAAAAAAGTATGTAAAGGGGGGTGGGGGAAAGTAAACTGACAGTGAAGAAATGTGACACACACTACACCTTGGCCAGGTGATTATGGTTCACATCAACAGTAGTAAGTTACTACTGACGTAAAACCTAAATTATAATCACCAAATAGAATGTCGACAGTACAGTGCCCTAGATATGTGATGAAAATAGCACTTCACCTCTGTGCTCTTCCTCCCAAAATATGTAAATCCAGTCTAATGATGAGGAAAGCAAATGAATCCTAACATGGCATTTTACAAAATACCTGACCAGTACTCCTCAAAACTGTCAAGATCATCAAATACAAGGTCTGAGAAACTGCTACAGCCAAGAGGAGCTTAAGGAGACGTGACAACTATCTTAGTATAATACTAATGTAAATGTAATATGGTGTCCTAGATGGGATTCTGGAACATAAAAGACATTAGGTACAAGCTAAGGAGATATGGTTCATTAATTATAACAAACGTGCCACACACTAATGTTAGATGTTAACAACAGGGCAAACCAGGTGTGGGATATATGGAAACTCTGTAGTATCTTCCAATTATGCTGTAAATCTAAAACTGTTCTAAACTAACAAGTTTATTTTTAAAATAATGTGAAAAAATATCAAGTAGAAAGTTTTGGTAACTGAAAGAGTGATGAAATCAATGAGTGACATAGACAACAATTTGGCAAGTGGGCTTTCAATATTAACAATTCAATCTGAACTGTGAGCACTACATAAGGCACTAATTTATGTAAGTTTTGTGCATATCATGTAAGTTTATTCGCATACTTTTGTTTTGTTACTATACTTTTTTCTTTTACTAAATGATCATAGTAAGGAAAGTTACTGGTATTTCAACAGCCACTCTTCTGATGGCTCATAATGCTCTAAGGTATCTTCTCAGCTTTCCAGGTATTCCTAAGTAAAGATTGCCTTCTCCAGTATTTACAACACTTTGTTTTCTGCTTATCTGTATCATCTAGCACTTCTAGAAAGATGTTAAACAATAGCATTAACGGGCTTCTTTGTCTGGCTCCTGTCTTTAATGGGGATGCTTGTGGCTTTTCCCCACCATTAAGCATGATGCTGGGTGTGGTTTAAAATATTCATCTATTCCATCTGTTCCTGTTAACAAGGATTTTTTTAAAATATCAGAAATGAATTCAAATTTTTATTTAGATGAAGAAAACAGATCATTTGTTTTCTTTGGTTTATTAATATGAAATATTAAAATATTTCTTAAAAATGAACTATCCCACTTCCTGACAAACCACAATTAGTCAAGGTATGGTCTTCTAATAGTTATAATTTTATTTGTAAAACATAACTTAGGTTTTACATCAATATGTAGTGATACTAGTGTGCTTTTTATCATGTTTCAAGTATCAGTATTACACTAAATTTACAGAACAAATGAAAGCTTTCCTTTTTTTTTTTTTTTTTTTTTTACATTTGTGGGTCAATTTAGATATCTTCATGGGTTTAAAGCAATTCATCAGTGTAGCCAGACCAGGTACTTTGATACAACTCTTTGCCAGTTTTGATTCTTTCCATTTTTATGGATCTGTTTGCATTTTTCCATAGATCTCTATTTGCATTTTCTTAATTCATTTTGTCTACCAATCTTTAATTTTTTGCCTTGAAAACGCTCTGAAAATTAAGTTTGGGTCCCAGTTTATCCCACCCAGTAAGAATTAAGAAAAAATATAAGGATAGAAAAAGATGGAGCAAAACTGTCAATTATTCCCACAAAATTTACTAGAATTTGAAGAAGTTGCTAGATAACAAAGGTCAATAAATAAATCAATTGCATTTCTACATACCAAACAAACCGCAATTTTAAAAGGCAACCATTTGTAACTGCATCAAAAACAAAGCTAATAGAAATAAGTCAAAGGTATGTAAACAGAAAAGTAATTGAGAAACATGCCAAAGATCTAAATTAATGGAGACATCTATCATTCATGAATGAAGGACTCAACATTGTAAAGATGTCAATTCTCCAAGCTGATCTACAGATACAATATGCATTGAAGTTCCACCAGCACTTTTATTTCTAGGTAAAAATTCCTAAAGAAATTCTTGAACATGTATGCCAGGATACACATAGTTGGTTCAAAACAGCACAGTTTAAAACAGCTAAAACTGGAAATAGCCCAAATACCTATTAATCATGGATTAGATATATGTATTCTGGCATGTTAATAAAACGGAATAACATAATAGTGAAAAATAAAATATCTATATGCAAAAAAGTAAAAGTTCAAATACAGGCAAAACAAAACATTGTTTAGAGATACATACATAAGTAGTTAACACTAAAGAAAAATAAAATGACCAGAGAAGTGACAACAAGTAGTTTACCTCTTAGGGAAAGAGAGGGAGATGTGTTCTGGTAGGGGCACACAGGAGGCTTTAAAAAGGAACTACTTAACCTTGGTGGAATTACACAGGTGTTTGCTTTATTATTCTCTGTACTGTACATACACATTTTATACATTTGCCTATATATCTTTCACTAGTATTTCAAGATTACTTTTAAAAGTTAAAATATTAACAGCCCAATCTTTACTCTCAAACAGCAATCAATGTTTTCTTGTTCACAACACCCTGAAGAGAACATATCTATATTCTCACAATTAACCAGAAGTCTGAGGAAGACAACATACCTTGTATAGTCCAATGCCAGGATCAATAAGAAAATCATGAGTTGATGTAGACGGCTGACCGGAAGGTCCCACCCTTGGGGTTTTCTTTACTTTAGGTGGACTATTAGAACAGGGTTTGGCCTGTACATCAGTCTGTTTAGATGTGCTAGGAAGGTCAGGGTCTGGACGAACTAGCAGCTGAATTATATCATTCAGTCCAACATCATAATCAAATAAAGTATATCCATTTTCTAACTAGAAAAAAAGGATAGAAAAAGATTAAAATGCTTCTCTCAAAACTCAATCTTTCTACATCCTTAGTTACTCAAATGTCCTAGCTAAATTATTAAAATAAAATACAGAGCACTGAAATTTAGTGACTGTGAAGCCATTCCTATGGCCTCTGATGACAGCATCTTTTCAGGACCTCAATAAATTCTTAAGAATCATTCTATATCAACTATAGGGAAAACTGATAGCCACTGAAACCAAAAATGTTATCACTGCTGCTGTGACCTCATCACCTAGGCAGAAAAACTCTAAACTTCAACAGTTTTGTGTATTTTAATGAATCTACAAGAAAGGTGAATTTTGAAAGTGAACTGTTTTATGACCTTGTGTTCATAAGGACATTTAACCATTTTATCTTTCTGAAGCAGTAATTTTAAAAAATCAAGCAAAAAAAATTCAAGCAGGAATAATTACAATTCTTGCTTATGCTACTCCAACTTGCTCAAAGTTCTCTGTAAAGGTGATCAAGTTGTATTATGAAAAGTATTCCAGGATGACTAGTGAATAAATTATCTTGCAACTTACCCATATTTTGGCAGGGTCTCTATAAAGGACTGAATGGCGTCCACCAGCCCCATCCCCAACCCCTCCCAAATACGGTGAAGTCCTAATCCCAAGTAACTCAGAATGAGACCTTATTTATTTGGAAATAGGATCTTTACAGATGTAATCAAGTTAAAACTAGATGAAAAGGGTGGGCCCTAATCCATTGTGATTGGTGTCCTTATAAAAAGTTTAAATTTGGACAGACACAAGGGGAGAAAATAGCCACATGACTGGAGTGACACATTTACAAGCCAAGAACACCAAGGATTGCTAGCAAACATCAAGCTAAAGGAAGCAAGGAAGGATTCTTCCTTAGAGCCAGAGATGGCATGGCCCTGCTGACAACCTGAGTTCTGGCTTACAGCTTCCAGAACTGCTGGACAATAAATTTGTTGTCTTAACCCACCTAGGGTTTGGTACTTTGTTACGGAAGGCCTAGGAAACTAAGTCTCCATTTTGTTTCTTTATAAAAGTCAGTTGGCCATTTCTCTAAACTCCTTGAAGTTCAGAGCTACCATTTCCCCGGAAACATTACCAATTTAATCCCTAGTCATTCTTCCCTCTTTGCATGTAATACCTGTCACCATTCATAGCTCTAACACAATAAAGCCATATGTGAGAAGTCAACCAAAGAGAAAAGAATGAGAATCTGTCCTTGAATGACAAACTTACTAATGTACTAGGTAAGGTAACTTTAATTCAAATGGTCCAAGAATACACTTGGCACAATCCTGCACACTACAGGTGTTCACACCGTTAAACAGAACAAGGGATTGAGAAATTCAAATTTTCCAGTGGGGGAATTAAATGAGACATTATCTCACAGATTAGTTAACATGCTTATTTCAAATAAGTCTAAGGAGTCTTCCAAGTCAGTAAGCAGATAAGCCCTTATAGGGACATGATGTTAACATGGCTTATCTGATTAAAAAAACAAGAACTCCTAATCCTGAACTCCTGGGAAAACCTCAAGAAGCAAAAAACTACACACTCACACCTTCATTTTGACTTTCTCCAACAGCATCCCCTTCCCTCCCCCCTCACCCCCAAGTAAGAACACACCAATTCTGTAACAACTGAAAAAGCGTAACTTTGATTAAACATACAGCTGTTGTACATTATGACAACTAAAAAAAAATGTCATGTTCAAAGTAGGGAAAAAACTAACAGCACAGAACATGCAAATTAACTGGTAGGGCATGCCCCAAAATGAAGACAGCTGTTAAGGTGATGAAATAATTGGAAATCCAAAGTATTTCCATAAACACTTTTCCACTGAAATTTGAGGTGTCAGTGAGAGGAACCTTGGGGGCATTCTTATACCCAACCCCTCTGACTAGTTTCTAGGAAGTGATCAGAGTAAATATAAGCTGCTTAAAGTGAGACTTGGTTTGAAAGGAAAAGTAGTATCTTAAGTCATAGTGAAGCACTAAGCATATGAAGGCATGAAGCCCTGTAATAGAAATTAGGCCCACAATAACAAGTAACCACTTTTCCTCAATTACTCACGCTCGCTAGGATAGCGACTTTTACCCAGATTATATAGTGCTTCCTAATTCATAGGTACCCTCCCAGTTTTCCTGAAACAGTGATTATTATTCACCACACTGAAAGTTCCACAGAGTTAGGCTATTGTGAAGAGTTGCGAAGACTGTTGGAATGTTATTTTAAAAGTACTGGAAATTCCCTGGCAGTCCAGTGCTTAGGAGTCTGAGCTTTCACTGCCGAGGGCCCAAGTTTGATCCCTGGTCAGGGAACCAAGATCTTGCAAGCTGCACAGCTAAAAAAAATAAGAATAAGTACTAAAGTTCTCCCAAATTTAATGAAAGTATAGATTGAAAATTACCTGCACTTAAAGTATGCTGAGTGGGGGAGAAAAGGACTGGGTAATTTGGAAATTACAAACACCTATGGGTTTCATGCATTTAACTATAGTCCATCAATGTCTCACAGCAGAAAATGTTTGATAACTGCCATCCTAGAAGATGGGGCTGCAGAATTTACAATATTAGAGAGGCAGGACTAGTCCTAGAATTTTTTCCTTGAATTGGGTTGAAGAAATTCCCGGTAACAGTAAGAACGGCAACAGTGATGCAAGGGAAAACTAGGAAGCAAACACCAATTGGCAGTGGCTGAGAAGGCAGAGAAGTCATTCCCAAGGGGCTAATGATAAGGGATGCAGGTGGAGGGCATTACACTTTCACAGCATATACACTCCTGCCTCTTCCTCTCCCCCTCTTCCCTTCTCTCTCACTCTCACTCCCTCACTCCTTTAAGTAAGCAAACACTTTTACTTTGTACTCCATGTGAAAACTGAGTCCAGGGGCAAAAGGAAACTAACTACTCAGCTTTTCTTCAGTTCTGGTTCATACCCCACATCTACAATCTATTCTAAGAGTCCCTACAGTGATACAGGGAAGGAAAGAGAAGCGGGAAGAGAATCCTTTCGAAGTAGGAAAAGCTCTGGATTCTCAAAAAGATTTATAGATCCACCAATATAACTCTTCCTTAAAAAAAACCCCCACCCCCCAGGGTGCAAACTCAACTTCCCAGAGAAGAATATCCAAATGAGGTTACCCTACTTTAACTGGAACTTACAGCCCTGAATTGAGGCTCTCCATTCTGACTCCCTAAAGTAGAGAGAATCACATAATTACAGAGCTTCTCAAGCTTCATTTGCATACAGACCACCTGGGGACCTTGTTAAAATACAGATTCTACTTCAGTAGGTCTGGTGTGAGGCTCCCAGGTGAAGCTAATGCTGTTGGTCCTGCTGATCCAGGGACCATACTTTGAACAGTAAGAAACTAGTATGAGGCTGACTATCCTTCAACATTCATTTTCAAACTCTGGTGCTCATCAGAGTCTCCCATGGGGTCTTGTTAAATTCAACCACTTGCAATTCTGGGGTGAGCTGAGCATCTATAATAAATATCCACAGGTGATTCTGATGTTTTCCAAGGATTAAAAGCGGCAGACCTAACATACAAAGGTGGAGGTAGGGGAGAGACCACTTACATCATGGACACTGGAAATTTGTTTTTATTTATGACATTTTTCACTATGTGGCAGTAAGGCATCTTGAGGAAGGGGTGGCCTTTTTCTAATAAGCACAAAGGCATTTTACAGGATAAGGGCAGCCCTGTGACACCAATCCAGTAGTAGGACACACTATCCTGTCCAAGGACTGTGGACACCAAAGAGGAAAGGAGAATAGAGATAATAATCACTGCCATGGCTACCTGTCAGCTCATAAGGAACAAATACAGCTTCAGCAATGTCTTCCTTCTGTCTCCAACTAAGTACAGCACCCAAGGTCCATTACTAATTCCTACTGGTTTATCCCTATAGTGAAATCAAAGTAGGGAGTTATCAACTGTCCTGGGCTAGGAGATACATAATGTTGTTATCCTCAAGTTTTTCCCTGAACCTGGAATAGCCTCCTGGTTTCCTGAAAATGTACCCTGTTGCCTTGAATTTATCCCAATCCCTACCTTCTCCTAAAGACAGCCAGGTGCACATTTTCTTTTTATCATATTTGATAATTAGACTGTAAGGGGTGTCACCCAGGAATACATTTTCACGCTTCATTTCTATCTCTGGTGAAGTCACCAAAGTATCCCAGGAATTCATGTACTATTGTTCCTAGCTAGAAAATAAAATTCAATAAACTTGATTACATGCTTTTCACTTTTGACCAAAAGATAAAAAGGTGTTAGCCACTGGAGGCATAGCAATATAAAGCTACATAGTTTTTAATACACATACATTTATTTCTAAAGCAAAGTTTACAACTAAATTGAACAGCTGTTTTTACAAGTCTAACACTAGAAGATCAATATAAAACTGGCTACTAACACATATCAAAGATGCTATCGTTTACTTGAAAACAAAAAAAACCCTGTCTCTTTCTCAGAGTGTAATCTTGTTACTCTGAAATTTCTGGGCAGGTTTCAAAGGGTAACTAGGAAGGGGAGAAAAATATTCCTATCAAACCCTTTGGCTGTAGGAAAACGGCTACTTCTACCAAATCAAAGAGAGTTACACTTATTTCAAACCACAGGATCTACCAACTGGAGGATGCCAACTTCTTTAGTGGATTAACGTTTTTGTTTTTGTTTTTTTAAAAAAGGCAATAAAATAGGATGGGTCTGGGTCTCTAGGTACAGGCCATGTGAGTAGGAAAAATCTTCTTCAATGGACCAGACCAAGGCTAAACTGTTCAACTACCAGCGACGCCCACAGACACCCTCACCGCCAAAAAACACTTTCAGCCTTCAAGTATGTACCGCTGGCTATGCTCCAATTGCTGTGTTAAAAGCTTGAGTGAGGGGTCTAATTAGAAAGTGAAAAATAAGAGCAAAACGAATATTTTACACTGCTTTTCACTCTGCGAACAACCCCCCTGGCAAACACTGGGCAGTTTAAACCTGTCCCGGGTTACATCAACAGCTTCTTCAGCCCAGGTCTCTAATCTGCCCCACAACAGATTCGATTCTAGGAAAAAAGGTGAGGGAAACGAGTGCCAGAAGTTCTGTAAACACTTCGAATCTTCAGTATATATAAATCCCTTCCACAGTAAGGAGGCAGACTTCGGGTCTTGAGCCCCAGAGGGAGCAATGTATGTTTCCCCTCTTATTTGGGAGCCGGGAGCCCGGCAGAGATACGGAAGCGATACGAGCCGTGAGCCGGGTCAGCGCGGCCGGGAGCGGGGGCCTCCGACCCTCCCCACCCGCACTTCGGCATGGCCGCCAGAGCCTGCTGCCCTCCCCGCCCTGCAGGGGCCCCGGACCCCACCAAGCGCGGGAAGCGAGGGAACCCAGGCGCTCTAGCGGGCTGTGCCTGCGGAGGCTGACCCGCTTGGTAAGGGCGGTGAGGTCTCGGCACTCGAGGCGCCCCCGCCGAGCGCACCTGCAAAGGGGCCGGCCAGGACCCCGCTAGGCCCCGTAGGCGGGCGCAGGGCCGCACTCTGAGTCTCGCGGGTTGCCCACCCGAAGTGGAGCTAGGTGCGCTCTGCGTGCGCCGTGCACCAAGCACTCCGGCCCGCCCAGCCCACGCAACCCCGTGGCGCCCCGCTGTCCTTGCTCCGGCTTCCAGAGGGGTGCGGTGGGCGCGCCTCACCTGTTTGCCCCGGTAGAAGAGGCGCTGGCACTCGGGCCGCACGTCGAACAGCGCCCACACCCGTTCGCGCAGCTCCTCAATTGTGGCTTTCCGAGACACGTCCTCAATGGTGCGCGTCTGGGAGCCGTCGATGGTGCGAACCTGGATCCACATCTCGGCGCCGGGAGAAGGGGCCGGCTTCGCTTTGTCTCCCCCTGCGCTCCGGGGGCCGCGCCCCGCCCGGCCCGCGCCGCTTCCCCGGCTGCTCTGGCTCTCCGCGGCTGGCGGGCGAGCGCGCGCACAAGCGAGGAAGACCGACCAGACGCCGGGCCCGACAGGCGGCGGCGAATACTAGACCGCGAGCCCACCTAAGAGAGCTGAGGAGGGAAGGAAACCGGAACCAGTCGGAAGCGCGGCTGCTTTCGCAGCCCCCGCCTCACAAATGGGAAACAGCCTTGTCTGCACCGCGCGGAGTGTTTACTTATAGAGCTCTAGCTCCCACATGGAGGTCACGGCGCCAACCCGGTTCTCGCGAGATCTACGCCGGGCTCCGCCTTAAAGAGGAAGCGACCAGGGAAGTGGCTATAGACATGAGGGAACTAAAATGGGCGGGTGCGGGGAGGGCGGGGCGGGGGGGCGGGGCCGCCGAGAGCCGTTACTTGCGCCTCAGCGTGCACCTGGGCCCTGGGCACGCCCTCTAGTCTTCGGGTGTCTGGCGGTTACAAGGCCGCCCACATGGGTTGCACCCTTGGTCTCGGTTTCGCGACCCAGGGCGCGAGCGACTCCTCAGGCTTAGCCGATTCGGTTCTGTGGTCCCAAAAACACACCAAAGATGAGAAACTCTGACGTGCACTTGTATGATCATGAAAAGCGGTGTGCGTGCGCGCGGGCGCGGCCTAAATTTGTGAGAAAGCATGTAAGGAAATGAACCCGTTTCACCGCGCTCAGCCAGACACCGCCAGCCACGCGGCCTGGTGGGGCCGGCCACCCAGGAAAGGCCTTGGGGACCCTTCTGCTTCGCGAACTCGTTTCCCGCCGGCCCGAATGCTGCCTTCGCGCGGAAACCAGCTTCCTGGGGTTTCCCGCCGCTGGGCCGAGGTGGCGGCCTTAGGCCTGCAGGCTGCGGGGTCGGCTGGGATCGCCCTCTACGGGCCTGCTGCGCTCACAACCGGACCTCGGGCCACGGAGGCGTTGGTGCCGCCGCCCGGAGGGCCTCTCGCGGTTTCCGTTTGTGGACCTTCCGGGTTAGTGAGCATTTGGCCTAAGGGGTTGCGGGGTCATGCAAAACGCTTTTAAAGGATGCAAAATTACACACCTCCGAAAAGGACTTCTAGAGAGCCTACCAGGAATAAATTCTCCGAAATAGGCCCAAGCAGGGTTACCTAACACACCTAACAGTGGGCTTATTTCAAATAAGAAGGGAGAGAGCATATGAAGGTAGAAAAAACTAAATATATAAGCTTTGGACTTAATATTGGCCAAAATCCATAACGTGACTATTCAGGCTGGTGGAAATTATTACCCTAAAGGTAGAGCAGCATTTTTGTAATAACCACTTAAAATAACTGCAAGTACAGAGAAGTCCAGTAGTATGATAAAAAAAAAGATGGCCCAACACGGGAAGGACAGAAAAAAATGGAATACAGATACACACTTCGGTCTCTACTCTTGTTGAAAATTTTACATTCACTGTATCCTCTAAGTATAATTCATCTTGTCTGCTCCTGATTTAAGTAAAGCAAATACTGAGTATTCATTACATGTGTAAATATTAAGTATGCTTATAAACTGCCCCAATAAGAGATAGCTAGTTGCTATTATAGGATATGCTATGCCATTGCGGAGGCATATTAAGATTTTTTTTTTTAATTCTTTGCTCACAAAGAATTTACAATCCAATTCAGATAAGATTTAGAAAAAATTAAAGAGTAATTTAATACTAAATAGTGTGTTATTGGTTAAAACAACAATTAGAGATGAGTGAAGGGGGACTAGAATGATCTGTGAGCTTAAAGATAGGGGTACAACTTGACCTGAGTTAACTGGTATATTGTAATGAAGGCAGCATTTAAGTGTTCAGTTTGCGGATTGAGATAGACCTGAATTGTAAACCCAGTTTTGCTGTTTTCTTAAAATGTGATCTTGGACAAATTACTTACTTCAATTTCCTCAATGTAAAATGGTGCTTATAACATCTAATGAGTGTAGAGTGTTTAGCATAGTGCCTATCCCTTGCTGCTACACAATAAATTATTTTTGTGCTATTATTATGGAGAGGATTTAGTTAAGTACAGAATGCCCAAAGAGGAGAGAGTGCTTAAGCAAAGACAGGAGGTATGCATTTTTACAGGTCAGAAGAGATTGCATATAAGAGAAAGGTTGACTAAATGGAGAAGAACACAGTGTGAATATTAGCATTCAAAGCAGTAGATTTTGTGGGCCCCAGGGAGAAACTAAGGTTTTTAAAGGAGTCCACTGTTGTGATTAAATATGCCTTTGGAAAGACAGAAGAAGGAATGTGGAAGGATGCCTTAGGGAAAAACTAAGGGACAAGGAGAGGAGGGGGAGATGCTGTCAGAAAGCTTATTGAAGAGGCAATTGTGTCAGTTTTGGTGAAATTTGTGGCAGTGGGTGAGAGAAGAAAGGGTAGCTTCTAGAATATTCTAGAAAATAAAGCCTATCAGACTTGTAGAATGTGTGGATATGAGTAATGAGGAAAATGGAATGCTAAGAATAATTCCCAAGTTTCCAGTTTGGGAGACTTAAATGATGGTTTTGGTAGATGGTGATGCTCTTAACTAGAAGAGGAAGCAAATTGGGAAAATTCAGTGAGTTCCCTTTGCACTGTGTAGCATTTGAAATGCATCCAAAATATACCTAGATGGAGCTATCTAAGTGACAGTTGGAAATGCAGGTCTAAAGTTTTGCCGGGAAGTAGAAAAGTTCTGAAAGAGGAACTAGTCAAGATCTCCTGTACTCATTCCCATAAGACAATTTGTCCTTCTTAATGTGGTGGGTCTTCCATGGAGAACCCTTGGTGGTGGGGGGGGGGGCGATGGAGGGAAGCTACTGTCAAAATTGGGTATCTACTGGGACAGTATAGGATTTGTGTTAATCTAGTCAGCGTAGGTCCCAAATGATTGACAGGACAGGGCTTAGAGCTGTGAGACTCAGAAAAGATAAATTTGTCCTGTGCAGAACAAATTAATTACATCTGGAAACGTGAGCTTTTGTGAATAGTATGTTACTTAGGCTATAAATAACTGCAAAGACTGATTTTATATGTAACAAAATACATCTTTCTGTGTTTCTCCACATAGTGCATGTTGTAACTAAGGTTTTCTCTTCCCCTGCAATGCTGTTGTCTGCTTAGGAAGCTGCCGGGTTTTAAAAACAAGATAAAAGTTCTCTGACAAAAACCATCATATCAGAGTTCTGACATACCATGCCTTATTACCAGATGTGTAACTGAAACAACTTGGATGGGAGCAAGGAAAGAAAAGAGGAATTATTTACATGGATGAGAAGCAAATGCTAAAGTTTATGCCATCTGTCATGATTCAGTATTCGTTCAGGTTAAAAGAGGCAAAACAGAAAGATAAAAGATTGATCGTAGAACTAATTATTCTAGAATCTTATCACCCCTCACAATATCTCATTTTCTCAACTAATGTCTCAAAGTTAACACACACACACACACATATGTAAAGTGAATTTCAATCTGGTCTCTAAAGTTCTGATTACCAACTTTTCATCCGCACATCTTTGATGATTACCTTCCTTTCTCTCCTCCAGGGCCACTCTCTACCAGCTGGCTGTCCTGGAGTTCAAGGGCAGAGAGTACATCAATGGGGTCAGTGCTCTCAGGCTTCCAACTGAGTTTGGCCAGTGGGGAGGAAGCACAGACAGGAAACTGCAGGATGGGAAGAGAGGGAGGTCAGTATATTTATTCCCCTGGCTTTCTTCCTGAAAGGTCACCTCGCCTTCTTGGGAAGTCACTACTCCTCCAAAACTGACCTGCTCTGCATGACTCACTTTTCCATGTTCTGGTAACCTCTCCCTTCTTTTCTTTTCTTTTTTTTTTTAATTTACTTTTGGCTGTGTTAGGTCTTCGTTGCTGCATGTGGGCTTTCTCTAGTTGCAGAGAGCGGGGGTACTCTTCGTTGCGGTGTGTGGGCTTCTCATTGTGTTGGCTTCTCTTGTTGCAGAGCGTGGGCTCTAGGTGCACGGGCTTCAGTAGTTGCATCACGTGGGCTCAGTAGTTGTGGCTCGTGGGCTCTAGAGCACAGGCTCAGTAGTTGTGGTACATGGGCTTAGGTGCTCTGCAGTAAGTGGGATCTTCCCGGACTAGGGCTCGAACCCGTGTCCTCTGCATTGGCAGGCAGATTCTCAACCACTGCACCACCAGGGAAGCCCCCTTCTTTTATTTGTTTGGGTCTAGGGATTGTAACATTTTTACAGTGCTAGATTCGTACATATTCCTTCAGTTCCCTATACCTTGGCTCACAGCCTCTTTTTTTCCCCCTTTTTTCTTTCAATTGAAGTACAGTTGATGTAAAATATTATATAAGTTTCAGGTATACAACATAGTGATTCACAATTTTTAAAGGTTCTATTCCATTCATAGTTATTATAAAGTGTTGGCTATATTCCCTGTGCTGTACAATATAATCTTGTAGCTTATTTATTTTATACATAGTAGTTTGTACCTCTTAATCCCCTACCCCTATTTTGTCCCTCCTCCCTACCCTCTCCCCAGTGGTAACCACTAGTTTGTTCTCTATATCTGTGAGTCTGTTACTTTTTTGTTATATTCACTAGCTTGTTTTATTTTTTAGATTCCACATATAAGTGATATCATACAGTATTTGTCTTTCTCTGTCTGACTTATTTCACTTAGCATAATACCCTCCAAGTTCCTCCATGTTGTTGCAAATGGCAAAATTTCATTCTTTTTTATGGCTGAGTAATATTCCCATGTGTGTATATGTGTGTGTGTGTGTGTGTGAGTGTGTATTTATATCTCACATCTTCTTTATCCATTTATCTGTTGATGGACATTTAGATTGCTTCCATATTTTGGCAATTGTAAATAATGTTGCTATGAACATTGTTGGGGTGCATGTATCTTTTTGAATTAGTGGGTTTTTTTAAAACACAGGAGTGGAATTGCTGGGTCATATGATAGTTGTATTTTTAGTTTTTTGAGAAACCTTCATACAGTTTTCCACAGGCCCACACTCTTTTAATTGGTCCCTTGTGGGGAAAAACAAAACATTAAAAGTCCCTTAACTGGAGGTTTTCTATTATAGTTTCTAATGCTATTTCTAAAAGAACTACATGTTACAAGAAGTGAACTAGAATTTCCACTGACTAAAAAGCGCTTCATATCGTGATTCTTTACTTAAACTAGCCATATTTTAAAGGGTGTTCTCTTTTTAATAGAATCACAGATTTTTATTGTGGAAATCTACTTCATAGATTATTCCTGTCTAAGCTCTTTAAC